TGCCTTTAAATAATTCATCGTAATATTTCCATTATATTCTTCATATTTCGTATATTATTTCAATCGATCTTAAAAGATTAGAAGGTATGCATTATCGATGTAATTCGAGGATTTTTCAAACATTCAGAAGAAACGATTGAATTTTCCTTAAATTGTCCATCATATCGTAGCATCAATAGATCGTTCAACGAGAATTTGCTTCGCATAAATTTTGATATTCCATCAACTAGTCCATTAACAGTATCGTAAAATCGCACGAACGATCGTTTACAGCTATGAAATCTCGAGATTTCAATAATGTTTTCGTCCAGAATCGATTCTGAAATCTTCGTGTAAAATTTTAATACCACGTGCTGCTCAAACTTCGAGTTGGATTTTTAAGGAATATTCCTCAAATATTTCATAAATTTGATTCTTTCGAGGGAGTAAATTTTGACTCGATACACGCATCTTCTCGATTTTATTCTAAACGAATTCTATTTTGTTTGAAGAAAGAACGATTGCATATATCTGGTGGAATATATTGCCTCGTAACGACAAGCTAATCATCACTGGAATCGCATTCAGACACGAATACTCATCGATTAAACGATTCGAGGTCAATTCGACGAGATCGGACCAATCAGTGATAAGATATAGAAATAACTCGAAGAAATAAGTATATAATTCGTCGGATAATATTCCATCAATATTTAATTATAATTTTATTATAATTTTATTATTACCGTAAATTTTTTCTCAAGTTCGTATAATAAATAATACAAAATTTTCTTTCCAAAATTCAACTTTTTTTTTAATCAATCTATCCCTTCACAACTTCACCACACCTAACATCTTCGTAAATTTGGATACAATTTACAACCATAACCCACCTTTCGAACAACTCTAGCATTTCCGTTTCGCGCTCTAACAACCAATTTCTCCCCCCACTCGATAATTAATTTTCTTACGCTGAGGGTGTGCGCTCGACTCGAATCCGGAATTGCTCTAATTCTCTAATTGCGCGAATTAACTTACGAGCTTTGAACAATTACGAAACTCCGGCGTTTGACGCGAGGAAAATTATAGACGCGTCCAAACCATTTCCACCATTGTCTCCGCGCTTACTTGTACACAACAACTTACGGTCACGCGTCAGTCATTAAGACGATGCACGGTTATTCATCGGTTCCTCTCTCTCTCTCTCTCTCTCTATCTTTCCTCGAGAAACCCCTTTGTGTACCGCTTTGAAAACGCGAAACGACGGCCGACTGCTCGGCGAAACGTTGAAAATTAACAAAGAGACCCGTGAAACGCGATTAATCGCGGGTAAATATTCCCCCTGCCAAAATCGCAACTAGGGTAGGAGGTGTCTAATTCGATGGAGACGATTCGAAGATGAAAACTGATACGGGAGGATGACGTTTCAGCGTTGGAAATCGTCGAGCAAAGCTTGTTACGCTTATTACGTACCAGTGTAACTTTGTTTCAAAATAACACGATTTTGTGGAATCAATGGGATTTTTCTGTTGAGAGAGTATTTGGGAATGGATGTTGAAGATGTGAAGGAAGAATCGATTAAACGAATGAAATTTTTGGTATATCAACAACAACCTGAGGAAGTTGAAGGTAAGAATGTGGAGTGGATTTTCTTAAATATCAGATAATTGAGCTATAATTAATTCATACGGATTATAATTCTTCCATTAGAAAAACAGAACATCCCCTCTTTTCGTCACTATTCCTCTGTTTTTTCTTTCTTCGAGGAAAATATCGCGCGAAAAAAAATAGATGAATATCAAAGAAATAGTAGAAATTCTCAATAGTTTCTAATTTTTTGAAAAAAAAAGGATAATATTCCATTTCTCGAAATAGAATAATAAAACAAAGTGCTCATTTATCAACCAAAGAGAACATAAGAATCATCCGAGAAGAAACCACGAATAGACACAATCGTAAAAACAAGAACACGGTCGACATCGTCGTCGAGATCCCCAGAAAGAAAGAAAGAAAGAAAGAAAGAAAGAAAAAGGGAAAAGAAGAAGAAGAAGAAGAAGAAGAAGGAAAAAGAGCGACAATATGTTCTTTCCACATCGTGAGAAGTCACGTGAAGTTCAACGCGACGCTCTCTTCGACATTGTATACGGGATTCGCGTTTTCAGGATGAAAGGAGATGAAAGCCGCCGCGAGAAAGCGCTTTTTCGTCAGAAATCCTCCCCGCTTTTAGGAGACGAGAAAGAAGTAGCCTGTCCCCGTTCGATTGTGTGCAATCGCAGACACAACAGACGTTTATGCTCCCTCGAAAGAGACCTGTCCCTCTTGTCGAGATGCCAGCTCCACTTTTTATTCCGGATTCCAGTGATCGTGGCAAAAAGATGTACGCCAACCTCGATTGTCCGATAGAGGGGGGGGGGGAAGGGGAATGAGTCAACGATTGTGCCGATACAACGACAAATAAGTGATTTTTCTTCTGGGATTGTCATTTTTTCAAAATTCGTAATTGTAAATGTACTCACTGAATTCTTTTGTTAATTATTTTTCAATGAAAAAAAGCTTCTGTTGAGAGATTCTTTTTTGAGATTAATATATCAACGATCTTGAAGTAAATCTTCACAGGGATTGATATCTTGTTTGCCAATTTATTCGATCCTCCATTTCTTTATTTAAAGATTCACTATTAATTATTTACACGATATTAATTTATTATTTAATAAGCGATATAATTTTCGTACGAGGAGCAGAGAGAAACACGAACCGTTCCGCTCCGTGTCTGGAAAGCGACTTAAATCAATATTTCGGATATCAATAACAATGTTATTGAATGCCAGTTACCAGTTCAACATTCATAATATTATTCGTATTATACGCGACGTAAGAATAATATTAGGACACGAGATTTCAAAATTAGATTCAATTTTCTCTCGCTAATTTAATAACAATATTATTTTTTTTCTATTGTTATTAAAGAAAATCAAGAGTCATTTTTTAACATTTATATATCTATAAACTATAATAAATTAAACGAGAGAATGGATGGAATCTAATAATAATTTTTACGCCGCTTAATATTATAAAAACTTATTAACAAAATATATCGATCTTTGTAAAACTTTTTTATTATTATATCAACCTCGAAATCAATTTATCGATTAATCTACTCACGTCTCAAACGTTACGCTCTATCGCGTATAAAAATCTTCACTTCATGGAACAGGAAAGATTCCTAAACCCTCGATCCAGTCCTTTTTCACCCAAAATGATCCAACCAAGTTTTTTCCCACGATTTCTCCTCGATCTCAACAAACATCCACCGATTCATTCATTTCTCCCACACATTTCTCTCGTAATACAGATTAACCGACAGCGAGGACGATTCAACTCTCGGCTGCAACGCGGATGCACGATCGTTAAGGGCGACGTTGACGTAAGTTTCATGAAAATGGAAACGTTGTCGGCCTAATGTTCGAGTCTCGATGTTCTGAAACGTGAAAGAGGAAAGAGAGGGAGAGAGATAAATAGAGAAAAAAAAGAAAGCTTCAACTAGGAAAAGCCACAGCAGTGGTGGAGAATGGGAACAGAGAAACGGCGTTATCGTGCTGCCTATTTTTTTTTTCTTTTCCTCCATTTGCAAACCTTATCCAAGGTACTTCGAGATCATTGTTCGTGACTGTGCCGGCTCACTTCTGATGCTTCCTCACCCAGGGCTCGGCCATAAGAACACCGATCCACTCGGACGGGCATAATAAGGTGCTCGTCGAGAAGATGGACGATCCACTGGCACGGTATTCACGATGGAGTGTGCCACTCTCTATTCTGCTGAGAAAGAAAGAAACAAAGAGAGAAAGAAAGAAACAAAGAAAGAAAGAAAGAAAGAAAGAAAAAACCGTGGGACGTCCAAAGTATCGAGAGAAATGAATTTTGATCGAGATTAACGTTAATATTAAATAGAATGTTAACTCTTCGAAGGAATTTCAATAATTCGATGGACCCAGCGAGATGACACGATTGGAAAAGGTATGTATTTTCTCTCCCAGGAAAAGCTAAAAATGATTAACAATTGTTATTGGAGAACACGAATTCCAATATTGAATTATTACCAAAAATTCTTCTCCTCTTAAGAAATTAGAAGATATATTTGAGAATAAAACGAGTCGAAAATTACCTTCGAGAGAGTACTTTAAATGGACATTGCGTGTCCGTCCGTTGTAATTTTCCTAAATGGAAAATTATTCTCGATTATCTAAAATTTTAAGAATGAATTCTCTCACCTTTGCGTGGTCTTTTTTCATCGATTTACGATACCGCAGCGATCTTGTCGAATTTCTTCCTTTCGTCTTATCCCAAAAGATCGAAGACATGGCCGATTAGACACCGCGAAAAAAGTTCAATCGACCGCGATCTTCAAACAACGTGTTTCGATTTCTCGAACGGATGTTCTCGAATGTCGCGAAACGAGAAGCCTTTCCTCGCGCTCCTCCTTTCTCCTTTCAGGATTTACACCCCGGTTTCACCATGTTTTCGATACATCTGGTAAGCGCATTATCGGATAAAGAAAGGTCTTTTATCTAAGCGCCTAGTTTCCGGCGGGGAACGTGTCGCCACGTGGCTGATGCTTCGTTTATTTCACCTGGTTTTATACGCGTCTCGAAGAAAAGAATTTCTCCCTTGGACATTCGAGACTTTTCGATGTATATAAGGCTTATAGGCTTATGAGCGGATTCGATTCAACAGGATGGAAGAATCTGGTTTAAATATTTTCTCTGATATCTTTCGATTTTTCTTTGTATTCTCTCATAGACGCTTTCAAAAATTCATCGTCGCGTGTTCAAATCTCGTAATTCAATTAACAAATTAATTATTAAAAAGTTTCGAATCGAAATTTTAAATCTTTTGCGATTGATTCAATCTTACACTCAAACGAAAAACATCGTTTCAATAATAAATCTATTTCAAAGAGAAAAATTGTCTAAATCATTAGAAATAGAGATGAAAATGAGATAGATAAAAGGAAAAAAACTCACCATTGAGCACGTGTACCGCGATGGTCGTTTTAGCCTTTTCCGGAGCCGTGGGCCCTCTTACCACGCAGCTGTAGTTTCCGGCGTGTCTTGGGCTGGCCCTCTCCACGATCAGGGTGCTGACGATCACGAGGACTTCCTTGCCAGCCAAAATCTCCGTCGTCCTGTTTTCACTGGAAAAAAGAAAGCAAACGTTCGATCGTAATTTCTATCCCATTGATTATGCTCAAAGGAAAAGAGCGAGAGATCGACAGAAAACAACAAGTCTCGAGCAATTCTTTCAAGTATTTTTTTCTAGTTTGTGCGATAGTTAATTTAAGTAACACTAGAGAATAAATAAGAAGAAAAGGTCATAACGTTTAATGAGATTGCTATAATACTGGTATAATACTGGACGAGACTGAATTATTGTTTCGTTCCACCCTTCTTTTTTTTTTCTTTTTTGAGCTCTCTTGAGGTTGCAGAAATTAAGATTTTAACCTGCTTGTTTGAACTTTATACAAGAGAACTGGAGCGGGAAATAAGTTTAACCTTCTTCTCGTTTCCACGCTGGTTGCATGGTCACATATTTAAAATTTTAAAATTTATTTCTCATCGGAAGTTGAGGATAAAAGAATTTACGAATTTTAATTTTTATAATATATCGTAAAATTAAAGGATCAAATTGAGAAAAAAAGATTAATAAACTTGAATGAAATTTTCTTCCCATTTATTATATATTATATCTTGTAGCAATTACAAACCTTACCTAACGTCCTCGGTAAGCGTTTCATCCCCTCTGGTCCAAATGACGGATTCCTTCAGGGACTCGATCACGTCCCTGGCTTCGCATCTAAGCTTCAGTGCGCTTCCTGCCTTTAGATGCCTCTCCTTGGACACCGCTCGACCGGAATCGTCCGTTATTGTCAATTCCGGCGCTGAAATCGAGAACACACCCTCTACAATATTACTCGCCCTCCATATCCCTCCATCTCTAAAAAACACGTATAGAATTTTTCTATGGGAAGAGAAGTAAAGAAACGAAAAAAATTAATCATCCTCGAAAATATCAAAGACAAACGCACGAGAGAATATATTCTTTTCATCGCTTTTGTTTTGTAGAGAAACACACATATATATATATATATATTTACGTATATATTTTACACGTTCGAAAAAAATTAATTATCCTCGAAGAATATTAAAGACAAACATGTACACAATTTTTCTTCTTCTTCGAAAAAAAAAAAAAAAAGAAAAAAGAAAGAAATTAATTATTGTCGAAGATATTAAAGACAAACACACGAGAACGTACAATATTCTTCTTATTCTTTCATCCCTGCGAAATACACAATTATACACGTTCGATAAAAAGAGAGAGAGAGATAGAAAAAAATTTAATTTCCCTCAAAGATATTAAAGACAAACAGGCACGAAATTCTCAAGAGCTCGACAATTATCGCCACCAGTGATAACGGCACGTTTTCCGTATTTCCAACCGCGAAATTAAACTTTCAAAGAGGCTCGCTAAGGGTACGATTACGCGAGGAAGAGGGGTTGAATTACATCCCAGGCGAAATGTATTCATAATTAACAGTCGTAAAACGGAGGACTCGTTCGTGACCCGGCCCGACTAATTTACATCGTATAATTAAAGCAATCCGCGAAATCTGGCCGCTCTATTAACGAAACGTTCGAACATGGACAAGGAAATCGGTTATTAAAAACTGGGGCCACTCGACCGAACCCGCTCTTATCCGAGCTTTTTCCGGATATTCTGTCAGAGACAGGGTGATTTTCTTCGGACGTACGAAGCTTGAGGAATTATCGAGACTGCTCGAGAGACTAGGTGCAAATGGAGACGAGATCATACGAATTAAGTGAAAAGAAATGAGGAAATTGTAAAGTTTGAAGATCGTAAGTGGCAAACGGTTTTATTAGATTTCGCACGATTGATGATTCTCGTTTTGGATCGTTTTTGGAAAGGTAATTGGGCAAGTTGCTACGAAATATTCTCGATTCAAGAACGAATTCTTTTTAAGGAATGTAATAAGGGGAAAGAATTTTGCATGCGTATTTCATTTTTCAGTGTTTTATAATTTTTTTTCTTTTCTGTATTTGTCGAAGAGTTGATAAATGTTAATCTATTTTTATTTTTAATATTGCATTGAATATATCTTCGACACGTTATTTTCGAATTTATGGCTAATTTTTTGTGTATGATTAATACATATTACATATGTATATGAATAAATAACACGAATATCGTACGTTACTGATAACCCTCATTATACGTAAAAATATTCTTTCAAATAGGATGTTTTACTCTAACTCATTTTGCATAATTTGTTTAATTATATTTACATATACACGCATTTTCATCCATCTCTATATTACATATTATATAGTTTATCAGTGTCATATATATTTCAAAATATAATATTTTACATTTATGATAAAGGAAATTAACATTTATTTTACTCAATGTTAAATTTTATACAGATATTCCACTGCATTTTAGCAATCAAGCTATTTAAAAAACAAAAATAAATAAATATAAATGTGCTCAATAAATATAAATATAAACATAATAATCAAAATATTCAACTCGATAAAGAAATTATCAATTTACGATTTAACATATTTTCACTTCTTAATTTTTTCTCTATTCTTAATTTCACACATCCTTCCACCCTTCTTTTCCTCCATCTTGTTCAAAATAATCACGATCACTATCGGGGGAACAATTTCAACGAGAACGTTGTTCGCCAAGTTCGTTTCGAGACAACTGCTAGGACGCGACGAAACGACAGTTTCGACTTTATCAACGACAACAGTCACCAGGATATATATATATATATAGAATAGGAGGAATTTAAGGATATACCAAGGATAGTGGAGGCCACTTCTTGCGGTTACTTCTTCCGGCACGGATTTCGTATGATTCAACGATTCTCCTAGCTGGATGACCAATGTTCTACTCGCTCGAACGAGAAAAAGATACGACGCCGCCTCGTGATGTATCGACAAAACGAGAAAACCGAGAAAGCGCGATGCTCGAAACTCGGTCGCGAATGAAAAGACGACAAGAAATCAACCGGGCTGTCTGAATCTCTCGCAGTGTCGTCTGTAATAATTCAACAGCGACTTTTTTCTTTTTTTTTTTTTTTTACCGGAAGTTTGACGGAAAAGAAATTTCTGCGCTGTGAATTCTATGGGTTTTTCTCGTCGAAGAGATTAATATTAAAAAAAAAAAAAAAAAGAAGAAGAAGAAAAGAAAAATAAGAAGAAAATATACAAAGAGTATGCAGTTTTTCGGATTGTTAAGCGCATCTCCGTTATTGGAGCTCGAAACGTATGGTGTTGCGTCGAGGGAGGACAAAGGGTTTTGTACGCGAAAACTGAAATTTTATTTCGAACAAACAAACTGCAACGAGTTTTCACGCGAGGCTTTTTCGTGTCGTAACGGGTGTGATTGATAAAATTTTTATAAGAAAGAAGAACGAACGAGTTTTCGAAGTGATGATTGATCAGATGAAGGGAATACGAGTTAAAAATATGTAAGAGAATAGAACATGTTTGGAAAAGACGATAGAATATAAATAAAAGAACTGAAAATCTGGATCAAGGACCTATTAAATTTTAAATTTACAGAAGAACTTTGAAATTGAGTTATTTTATGATTCTACCACGATATTTTATATCGATCAGTTCCATCTTAAAAAAAAAAAGAAGAAAAAAAGAATATCTAACAGAACGAATCAGACATTTAATCGAACAGCCTTTCAAATTCCATCATCAACGTATCTCTCGGATATCTCTTAAATATCTCTTGTCATATCTCTCAAGCCCAAAATATCGACCTACGATATATCCCAATCCCTCAATAATTTAATTTCAAAATTAAATCAATCCCATGTTCCACCAAATTAAAAACACTCGGTCCAGATACATTTCCCCCGGGGATTCGCCCTAAAATGGGCCGATCAATCTTTCACAATATCCCATAGTATTCCCGCCTTAAGTTTTCAATTTATATGCAGGCCCGCGTTAGCGAGGAATATCGAGCGCGACAGATCCACCCACTCTAGGCGCTGGGACTCGTGAACGCCTTTCGATCCCTCCTTCCTCTCGAAACTGCCAAGGAAGAATCCGCGAAACGTCCACGGTCGTCTGTCCTCGACAGGCCATCTCGTTTTCCAAAATTGCGCGCAACGCGTCGAGAACGGTTTTAAAAAATCGCCGCCCGTGGTTACATGGCGTCACAGGCGGAAATGGACGACGATCAAATGGGTGGCGATTCATCACGGCGGAAGGGAATCTCCTTCTTCGAGGCGGATAAATAAAATCGGAGTTATCGAAACACCGGATGGGATTCCACCATCATATCCAACCACGCGATTTCCATAATCTCCTCTTCTCGGGGTGAAAGAAGGATTAAAGTAGTACGGCGAAACTTTTTTATTTGAGAGGAGGATGATACTCGATGATGCTCGGGATATATTAGAGCGAAGAGCTCGAAATCGGAGTGTAAAAAGATCGGTGAAAAGTTTCTTGAGTGGATGAGGCTAGAAATTCTTCTTCTACTACTTTCCTCCATTTCGAGTGGAATATTAATATCGGTACGTGATATTATTTCTTTAGATATAATAAGAGAACAAGTATGAATATATTGGACGTTTTTGAAAATTTTAAAATCGATGTAACACGTTTACAATTATCTTTACATTTCTGATGATGAAATAGTAATCGATCATTTTCGTATCATCGTGACTCGAAGCACTTCGATAAATATTCTTTCTGTAAAGGAGAAAGAAAGCGGGTGATCTTTCAAAATTTCTAAATAAAATCCTCGCTTCTCTTTTTATTTCCAGTACAACGCGAAAATCCTCTTGTTCAATCTTGTGATTCCTTCGAAATTATGTCTTCGACAAAACGCTCTTTGTATTTTACTCCGTGCAAACACGATATCTACGCAGTAGTTAGGTATCGATAGAAATGGAGGAAGGATCCGGGCGGAATTCGCTGGAAAATTTAAGAGGAAGAAACGAAGAGGAAGGTTCGATCGATCGAACATTTATTTTTTCAAGCTTCTTCGCCGATGAATGATCGCGAGCACGATGGAAAGTGTCGAGAGAAAAAGTCTAAAAACTCATCTAGATCTTTCGACACACAAGTCAAAGGATGAAGAAACTATCATTTAAATTCCACGATGTTTATTTATTTGGATGGATTTTGATGAAAACTTTCAAATTCCTCTTGAATTTAGTTTATTATGTCCATAAGATCCGATTGTATTTCGAACTTATTATTGAAATTAAAAGTTTTCTGCATTGTTTTGCATCATTCTTGGTCTATTTCGCTTGTCTCGTTTAATTTATTTAATATTGAAAAATCTATCTATGCGATTCAAGCAATTTATCTTTCCACCAAGACACGATTTTTATTAAAAATATAGACTTAAATCTGGTATTATAAATTAACGAATGAGAATCATTCTGTGCTTTGTAAAATCTCCCGCTTCACAAATTATTTATCGAGTTTCTGCGAACGAAGCGAGAAAACACAAGCCAATGGAAAAGAGAGCATCCATTGAACACCAGTTACATCATTAATAAATTTTTCCACTGTTCAAATTTTTGGGAGGGTGGCTTAAAATAGTGGTTCTAAGTTATTATTCCTTCGTTTGTTACGAGACAAAGAGTTTCTCGCGGTACATTACCTACCTAGTTGGCCAGATAGAGACGCGGTTAAAAGCCTCCTCGTCGCAATTCGAGGCTCCTTTAATTAGTGGAGAGCTCGAAACGAGAGTTCCTCGTCGAAGAATCTCCTCCAATAGCACGTAGACGATCGAGTTTACTTTGCACCGATGATCACGATATTTTTAGCTTACCTCGTGCAAGTACGTGGATGCCGCGTAATTAAATTTCCGTGTAATTGTGAAGATGGACGCGAGAGAGAACCAGGGATGGATTTTCACGGAGGGAATCGTCGTCGAAGGGATCGAAGAAACGGAGAAATTCGTCGAATAGTCGATGACGAAGTGACAATGACCGGTTGGAGAGGCGGATATTCATCAATATTGAATGTAATTTTAAATAAATTTAATCCAGGGTTTCACGGGGGATTCAACGGGGAATGAATATTCATTGCCGCTATTGATGAACGTCGTGTTTCATTTATGCGCTCTATACGTCATTTCTCCTTGTCCGATCGAATAATCGATTATCAACGTATTGTTTTCTTATTCCATTTATGCTTATGCTGTTTTGCTACTATAGAGAACTCTGTGTACTTATATACGCGTTCCAAGTATTCTCTTTATTAAAATATTTCGCGTGTTAAATTTTCTTCGCGATCCTATCTATCGTTCCTGGTGTTATTTCTTATAAGTTGTTAACAATTTAACTATCCGTCTGTACGGCTGTCTGCTTATGCTTATTCTATTTGGCTTCACTGTCTTATTTAGACTGACTGATTTTATTTCTACGATTATGACTCCATTATCCAACCTGATTCGTTATTACCTTGGAATATTTTGTACGTCGAGGAAAATGGAACAATTTTATGGAAAATGGAACAATGCTCAAAGAAAGTCAGTGTACGCCCAGTGGAGTGCAACTCTGGAAGAATTCGTGACGAGGAGGATGCACGGATGTAATAAAGGATTTAATAAATCTCCGATAGCGAAAACAGATCGCAAATATCGTCGTCGCAGCTCTTGGCCAGCTAACAAATGGACCCGTGGATGAACGTGTATCAATCATCGCATTAATCGCATCGATGATCGATCACCGCGCAACGGTGACGCCTCTGCACGATGGTCGCGCTTTCCAGAGAAGTCGTTCCCTCGTAACTACTGTTCTAACGTGACAAATACGCAATTTCGAGGAACACGGAAAGTGCAGCCATCGATACCGATCCACCATCCACGCTATCAATCGATCCGATTCATCCTCGTTTCTCATTCGATTCTGTTTTCCGCGAAAGAAATCCTTGGCAGTATTGCTGGTAAAATGCTATACTATTTTATTCAGAAACTGTTCAACTCTTCCCTTAGCGAATTTTTAGCTACTAGTTCTCTGATATACGTTTTCAATTTGTTTTCTTTGTTACGGAGATCGAATTATCTCACTGACGATCCTCTTGTCTTTCAATTTTATCTAACATCAAATATTAATTTATTAATTATATTATATTATTTATATTATCAATCAAATATTTATTTTCTCGAAATCGCACAGCGGATATCGATTTATAGTCCCCTTTCAACGAAACTCATTTAATCGATGCAATGAAACGAGTCATCCTATCATCCTCTCCCCCTCATCTCTCTTGGATATTTCTAACAGAGAAATTTCGGCGGGGAGAATGTTCGCTCCGGGGAGGAGAGCGTTAAAGAAATTCCAGCGGTGGAGGAGCAGAAGATCGTCGACAAAGTGCAACAGGGACGCCATCTGGTCGGCGACAGAGGGTGGAAGGGAGTGGTGTAACAATGTCAGTCTATCCGGGTTTGTTCTGCCCTACTTCGCCCTCGCGCCCCGGCTTTTGTTCACCGATGTGGCCCTCCCTCTTCGGATCAGATCAGATTACCGGCCACGAGCCGCTTTACCCGACGAAATGCGGGTTTCTATTGCACCGAATTGGCGACGTAAGGGGATTGGGAGAGGCGAGACCTGTCCTCTAACCCTTTCCAACCCTCGTTTCAAACCCCCTCCCTCTCTTCTCGCCCAGTTTCTTCGCCTTCCAACCACGCTTCCAACGGTGCTCTCCTGGACCAGCAACGAATCACCCTTCGGCTCCGACTCGGTCAAGCCACCCCCTCCTCTCAAGCCACCCAGAATGGGATTTTCCGCGTTGCAAACTCGCCACGATGGACGGAGAGCGCTTTCGTCGCTCTGGGGATGGAATTTGCAATTTTATTTATCCGTGCACGTGGTTTTGTTCATCTTTACCTTTGTTCCACGGGATGGACGGAGTGGATTGGACGAGAAGTGTTTTAATTATGTTGTGAAGAAAGATTCGTGGAGTAGAATATTAGGATTTGGAAGTCAATCTTTTTCTTAATATGGAAATATGACACGATGATCGTCAGAAAGAATAGATTCGATATATCCTTCCTTTCTGTGTATTGTATAGAAAGAAACACATAAACATTCTTCGTTCTTTCTTGAAATGAATGATATGATCAAACGCTGTTGCCTTCAACATCCACGATGATAAATAATTAACGAGCTTGAAAAAAATCTTCATTCCTTCTAAAACTTGATCACACAGAGATCGCAAAGATTCGAGGAGTAAAGCTACTATTTTTTTTAAAATACCAAATATCTATCGACGATCGTTAATACGATTTAAGGGAGCACCGTATCGATCCGCTGGAGGAAAATTCGAAACAATGGCGGTTAATCACGGATACAATTTCAAAAGAACCACTTACCCGTGACGATGACGTTGATCGTTTTAACCAGCGGCGGATGCGTCGAGACTTGGCACTTGTATAAACCGGAATCCCGCGGGTTAGCGTATTGGATCTGTAATCTCCAATTGCTTGGATACCTGTAACAAAGGAGGAGAAAAAAAAAAGAGGAGAATTTCATTTCAGCGACGTCACGGTTCTCGAATGCGCTCACGATTTTTACCGTCGTATCAAAGCCGATTCGATCCTAGATATCCAAGGATATCGAACCGATGCGACTTTATGGCGTTTCGTGGCACGGAGATCGATCGAGATGGAACGGCGTCATGTCGATACCGATAAATGAATTCCAATCGAGCTTCCAAACTGTCGCGAAACTGCACTAATTTTGATTTGTTTCGATGTAAATATAAAATTCACGATGATTTTAAGAAATAATTTTTTTAAAAGCACACGAACATGGATGCTTGATTCAGTTTTTAACATATAATTATCCGTTTTATTTTAAACAATTATCGCGTTGTAAACGAATAATAAAATAAATATGCCAAATATTGATATTTAATATAATCGAATGCTTTCAGGAACAATTATACAAATGTATTTTTAATATTAAACTTTCGAATACAATACGAGGTAAATTAATTTTGTTTTCTCACGAGAGAATGATTCCAAATTAATTTCTTTATCAAATCTTAAGACTATCTACTACGTTTCCTAATTATTCACTAAAAATTCAATAAAAATCTGCTATTCAATTTAACTCTAATTAATTTACCTCTCTCCTTTTTAATTAACCAAAAAAAACACCACCAATAATCAAATCATCCATCGTGCCTCCACTTACCGGAAGTTGAGGCTGATCCTCTGATCCACGCTGTACGGTACCATGCCGACGGTGAGCAGACGAAACAAGTCTTTGCTAGGCTGCTGCACCCACGTCACCTGAATCACGACAGGGGAAATATCTCTCGTTATTGCCTCATAAATCACAGATTTCAACGAAAAGGCCGTTTTCTTATCTCGAAGGGAGGGGAGGAGAAAGAGAGAGAGAGAAAGAGAAAGAAAAGAAGCATTGTTTCTGAGGAGGCGGTCGTGGAATTAAGGGGAATCTCGTCGAAAGTTAATAATTTCACGACAAGGAATCGATGGAAGGAAGAAGACACTCGCAGAATCGGTCGCGAATGAATGCACACTGCAATTTCACGGTAAGCGTTCGAGAGAAAGACCGGCTTACGATCGCTCGCCCTCGCTTCCTTTCGATCGTCTTTTTCAACGAGACGACATCGGTTTTCTCTTCCTTTTTCTCTCCCCCCCCCTTTCTCTCCCGCCTCCCCTCTGTTTTACACCGTACGTGACGAGTGTAATAATAGAGGGATCCCGATGAAACGTCATCAAGTTTATCGAGCTTTATGTTTTTGGCTCGACGAAACTGGTTGAATTTAAATAGGGAGTTTATAGAAAGAGAAAAAATGTAATTGATCGAATTGTGCATTCAAATATTATAACAATATTCGAAACTAAGTTTCTAATTTCAATTTAAATATTCAAATCCTCGCGATCCTTGCTCGAATCGGATATTCGAAAAATTATCGAATATTAAAATGATCGAAATTAAATTAAATTGATTTTTTTTTGTACCCAGATTTTGGAATATCTTTGGTATATATTTCGACGACGAAACGAACTGAAATTTTTATCGCTGTCGTCAACTGTGAAACAATAATAAATTGACCGTGGGGCGACGTGATTTTCCTTCTGAAACCAATACGATTTCACGAGGCGCGGTCGATCAAACAACAACGGCCAGCATCGACGGCCAAACGTGTTATAAATATACTCGGTAATCGGTCCGCGGTTATTTCCATTTGTTACACCATTCCGTGAAAATACGGGGCGAAATTATATCCTATTAAACGAACAATGTTTTATGCAAATGTTCTATACGATCCCGAACTTGTTAATTAATCGACTGCGAATATGGGGGATATAATAAGCTCCCCAAGTGTTTCCCAATTCTTGATCGATATTGGCGGTATTGTTCGAAAAACATCTGTTTATCCTTCGTTCGAAGAAAATTATTAAACGGATTAAAAATAAAAATATCGTTAATATCGACTGGCCTTTTCTAATTGAAACGATAAAGAATATCCGATAATTTTTCGTATCCCTTAAAATGTAAATTTTAAAAAAAAAGGATCTTTGAACGTTTTATCATTAGAATATATTAGGATGCTTATATGCGAAATAAAATTTTTCTGAATATGAAATAAAGCTTAAACGGAGATTCGCTTTATTCTTCGAATATCATAACTCATACTCTACTTTGATTATTTCGCGTCACATCATTGTGTAAATTTTGTATATTTAAATTGTTTATGCGCGCAAGAAACATTAGTATAAAAATTAAATAAGTTTTTAACGCAGGATTTCTCTCTATCATAGTAGTAATAATAAATACTTTTCCGAAATGATATATTTTCTCTTTTTATTCAATTCTTATTAGCGTTTCTCCCGGTTTCCTCATCGCCTCGAGATCTTTTTATCGCGCGACACAGAGATCATAAGAATATAACAGGAGCAAGTTGCATTCGGTTTTTCGTTCCGTGAAATCGCCCATTCTATTTCGCAAATCGCATCACCCATCGCTGACATCTCGTAAAAAAAAAGCAACGATATAATAAAGAGAGGAACGGGGGCCTGAAGGGCAAAAGAGAGCGACAAAGGGTCGCGATATAGATAAATTTACGCCACGACAAAGCGAAACATTCTCCTATCAGAGTTTAATAAAATAGAAAAAAAAAGGGAGAGAAAATAAAATAGAAAAAAAAGGGAGAGGAAAAAAAAAAGAAAAAAAAAATAGAAAAAAACCGCAAATCGATGATCGAATTTCTACTACGCTGCGCGTGAGAAATATAGCGACATGTTTCTTTTTTTTTTTTTTTTTTTTTTGGAGATTTTTTTTCCAAATAACAAATCTACGCTTCCCTTTTTTCATTCGTTCTAGTTTCATTTCTATTTTTTCCTCTTCCCACTCTTCCCTTCTCGTTTTTTTTCTTTATCGAAATATTATTTCATTGAGATGATAAAAATAAAGTATATTTTTTTTTTTCATCGTCAATCTTCTTTTCTTCGTGACATAGAATAGAAGAAGCATACATTGACCGATTTAAAACGTAACGAGATCGTCGATTTATTGCTCCAAGCTTTATCAGTTGCATTCGAAGGAATCGAAAAATTTCGATATCCATGTTTCGGATGCTTTTATCGCGATCCATGGATATCGAACGGGGAATATTCACAATATTCGCGAGCACAAGCCGAACATTCACGATGAACTAACGTATTATATCTCTCCCAATTACCGTCACTTCCATAATACGCGCAAATACATTCAACAAACTCGACTATCAACAATTTAAAATCCCGTTATCCTCGAGACTCAAAAAAGGAAAGAAACAAGACAACAAGATGACAAAACAAAAAATTACCTCCTTATTACCAAGCATGCCGATCTTGCAATCCAACAGCATGGTGCTCCCTATCCTGGCAGTGATATTTATCTCCTGATCCCCATCTTCGAAATAGGGGCCAAATTTGCCGAACGCGCTGTCCACGCTCGGCAACACGAACTTCCTTCCATGGAGCGGCCTTTGGGTGCCGATTGTCGGGCCCACCTGATCACCCTCCATCTCGGTTTTGATCGACGGTTTTATCTCGTAGAACGCCTTCGTCGACTTGCCACCGGCCAACAGGAGATTGTTCACCGGCCTCGAATGATCCTTCCTCGGCTGTTCGTTGCCCCGCTGCCTGTCCACGACCTCCTCCACCTCCTCGACAACCGCAGGCACTTGGAACGAGATCGCCCTTACGTCCTCCACGTTCTTCCGCTCGATCGTCCCCGCCGTCGAGATCGTCTCGCGGATGGACACGGTCGTCAAGCCACCTCTCCGCCATTTGTCCACGTTAGACCCACCCAACGGACTCTCCCCGCGCTCCTCCACGTTCGACGGACCCTCGCCCTCCGCCTGGACACCGTCCAACCGGTCCACGACCCCCGAGCCAGTCGAGGAGCCGACACTCGACGCGATTTCCACTCGACTCGGCCGGGTCGACGCGACGAAATCCTTGCTCGCTTGCTGCACCCTGCCCCTGCTCCTCCCACCACTGTCGCCCTCCCCTGACCTCGCCTCTGACCCCAACGGATCGACGTTCTCCACGACCGCCACCGCGACGGATACCAGCAGGTCGCTTTGATCCCTCTGCAGTGATTCCACGACGCTTTCCTCGGATGATCGCGAGACGTTCGCCGGTTTCTCCGGGAGCGGCTGGGTAGTTTTGGCGGCAATTGGGGCCTCGTCGGTGGGGTCGTCAACGTAGCGTGCGCGGAGCGTGACCGCGGCCAGGTCATCGGCCACCGTTTCGTTCGCGGTCGCCTCGTCCTCTTGCACGCGTTGGTCCTCCTCGTCCACTACGGGGTGATTGATGCTGGGCTCGACGACACCGTTGCCAGCTTCTGAAGAGAAGAAGAAAGGAGGGCGGTCAGTAAAGGCAAATTTTGATTACTTTTGTTACACAACGAACATTCAGAGATCGCAAGGTTTGTTCGAAGTTTCTGTTAGAAGTTTCCTCTTTCAGGATCGATACATTCTTCTTGCGTATATGGAGAGGATGGAAGATCCTTTCGATTAAGTTAAGTGGACGGAGTACGGAGTATTGCATATTTAAATCGACCGCAGTCAAATATGCACGCTTGAGTGAGAGACGCTTTTGGGAATTGAAACGAGGAGAGGAGATGTCATCCATGATGCATCGATACGTGCCGAAATAATTAACGTATTAACGTATCAAGTTTCGAAACTCATTCCCAGATTCCACTTTCAAGAATCGATGCTTAAACTATTTTTTATAATAAAATATTTCCAAAAGGCAAACTCGATACCCGGCAATCTTAAAAATTCCGTATCCAATATACGTCGTTTCATACAACGTTCTTCCGCCAAAAGTGTTGCATCCGTTCCTTTAGAACGCGTGTTTCAGTCATCCATCGAAGAATGACGTTCCTGACGAAAGCGACATTCCTTCTTCCCGCGTTTCCATGAATATGTAACTTTGCCTGTGCGTGACTCGAGCGATAACAAGGAGAGGAGAAAGAGAAGGAGAGAATATATCGAAGCCCTCGGGCAACCCCGACTCTATACTTTCCACGAGACTTTCAACCGAGATACGCGTCATTTGTAATTTCACGTCGAAACGGATATCTCGCGAGACGGTCCACGACGAAGGCAGAGGGATGATATCTTTTTTTCCCTTATCTCGGCGAGCACGTACTCTCTCCTCCCTTAAATTTCTCTTTTGTTCGTATCCACGTTACGTGTATCTCCGTTCTTCGCCACGTTGTGCCTCGGTTGAATGAAAATTGTAATACGACTGTGACGCGTGGAATTAACGAGAGATACGCGGAAATGAGGGATTTAATGTACGCGATGAACGAGAGGAATTTATATTTATATATGAATAAGGATACGATGTGGCATCAATGTTTCAAACAGCATTAACAGAAATCATTAAAAGTGGAATCCTCCCTCTAGAGGGAATAAAAATTGCATCCGTGAGAATGGAAATTACATTGAATACGCGTTTTATGCGCGTTTATGAATAATACATACCGATATTAATATTGGGAATTTTCCGAAATTTTTATTTCGCGTGTAATTTTTTCCCCCTTCGTTTTCGTGTTTTATGAAACTTGTGAAATTGTTTGTAAATTTTGTTACGAATTATAAGAATCAAGATGTTCGACAATTTTTCGTACAAGTAGATCCCGAAAGTAGTCTTCTCTTTTGTCAAGATGAATTTTAGAAAAGTTTAAAGATCGTTATTACACAAGTTCCTCCACTTCAAACCTTCCATCTCCTTCGTCCACATTCTTCTCGTTAAAACGTCATTTTAATCTCCTCGTTAAAACGTCATCCCGCTCTTCTGTAAATTTTTAAGGGGTAACTTAACAGAACAGAAGGGTCGAGAGAGAGAGAGAGAGAGAGAGAGAGAGAGAGGAGGGCTTATGATCTTTAATGAATATCCATTTTCCTTAATTTTACCGTCATTAAACTATTTTTCCTTTCCATAAATTAATTCCATCAACGTTCCTCCACTTCCGCTCGCCGGAGAACAACCGGAACTCGCACAGAAGTAGTCCGTCTTATCGCGCATATTCTTTCGCATACGTTCGCGGGAAATTCGCGCCATTTAACGTGGAAATTATAACGCGACGGATTAAAATTTCGTCGCATTTCTTTTATGGCCGGCGTTGGAATGCACTTCCGGAACGAAATAGCCGGCGCGGCGGCCAGAAAAAATTCCAACCGCCGTCGCCTGTGATAACAATGCATCCTATCTAATTTCTCCGCCCTTCCTATGCCCCTCCCCTTCCGTCCAAGAAATATCGCCACCCTCGGGAAAACTTCATTCTTACGCGTTATCGACGATAATAATATAATATTATTATTCTCTTGATATTAACCCCGTCGTTCCATTCCGTTTTCTTTTTAAAGAAGCTTATTATCGTTCGAGATCGATGAGAAATAATGTAGAAGAGAGGGAAGAGGAAGAGCAATCGAGGATGGTTAACCGGCTTTTAGAGTAGTTTATAAAATTCTAGCAGAGAAATTTCATGTTTCGAGTCGGTTTGTATCTTCACCATTTCGATACTTCGTCTCCGTACCAAGTCAGTTGCAACAATCAGATTTATAAGATACGATATAAGAGGATATTAAATCTCGTTTCGAAGAAAATATTATTTCACGCGAGTATGAAAGTTTTGAAGATTTTCTTTTTTCCTTTTCTCGCGGATTTAACTTTCAATATAATTTCGGGAACAGAAGAGAAGGAAACGTATCCGGGATTTTGATATTTCCATTGGATGAAAGGATTGACTCACGATTCTTTTTTACCGGTATATCGTTGTTATACAAGGAATTTTCATTCTCCACGCAACTTTCGGTCAATTATAATTCCGACATCGAAGGAAATTCCATGGAGTCTCATCGTCCTTCGAGATAAAGGAGAAAAATTCTTTCTCACGTTCGCCGACTTCATTCGATTTTCCCACGATCTTTTCCCGGTTTCCTATTTCCCTTACAAATCTTGAGCTTTTCAACGATAGAATTCTCCCCCCCTCCGAATATTCCATCTTTATCGAGGTTACGTTTCCAGCCAACTTTAAGCGTCGCGTAGAAAGGTAAAAGTGTGTGGGAAGAAAAACGTGGGAACGCGAAGATAAGAGCATCGTCGTATCGCGAGAAGGTGTTCGTTACTCTTCTATCAGCCACTACAACAAATTTGTATTTGGAGGAGATTAGTGAAGATCGATAAAAATAAATGTAAATAAACGAGTTTTTGTTCGAACTTTTGGTCGAAATGTTTATCGCATTTCAAACAAAGCGAACAAATTGAATATCATATTTCGCGTAAATATTTGAAATAACATAAATGGACAGTTATAAAAAAAAAATATTGTAAAATATTTCTTGAAGAACGAATAATGTCACGTATAAAAATTAAACGAACGTAAATTTTTAATACTTGAAATACTGTTATATCCTGTTAAATATTCTGAATAACAGTGTCAAATATCAATCGGTGGAAATCATCGATCAACCATTTGATGTTTAAAATATTTGCGTAAAAAATATCCCGAAAAAACCCGTGTCAAAGCATCATTCGAAAAGATCGCTATATGGCCATTTGATATTTAAAATACCGTCATTACATTTAAAAACATTTTATCCATCGGCCATCTCCATTGTCAAAGAAATCGTAAAAAATCGCCACTCGATATTTAAAACACTATTCGCCACTCCACGTTTCAAAATGCGCATGTATCCAGTATCAAGGAGTAGCAATCGCGAAAATAGGAAATGGAAGGCGCGCGCTTACGCTGTAATTTCCTCGCAACGAGAGTCGGAGATTAAGTTGCACAAGTAGCGTTGTTGTGTGTGCAAAAACGCGTGGAAAAGAAACGATGGACGAGCGAAAAAGAGCGGCGTTAATTTGGAGTAATTAGTGGCCGAAGCACGAACGATCGGTCACGCAAGTTGGTTTAATTGTAGAACCGGTATGATCATCGATCATAATTTGCCCGGATCCGGATTTGCGAGTTCGTGTTGAATTTCGCGGATTATTTTTGCCACCTCGCTCTCCTCCGTTTTTCTCCTCGTTACCGACGATTTTTCTTATTGCATTTGCTTCTTTTCTTTTAGCCATCATCTCTTCGTTATATCCCCCCGTGGATGGATCGAAGGGAATTATGTTTATCACGATGTTATGGACGGTGTGATTATACATTACGCCGGAAATTGGTATAAAGGAAATTTTTAAGGGGCGGAAATTGGCTTTGGGATTGGATGGACGTTCGTAGATTCGTTTTTTTAAAAAATTCGTTGGAACCAATTCGCAACAAAACGGTGGATCGAGAATTGTTTTTGGAAGCGAGTTCAAACGAAAACGAAGCAAATTCGAGAGGAAAAATTGGGAAATGGGGTAAATTTTTGGATACATTAGTTACTTTGAAAATAAAATAATCGCATGGTTATGGAGTTTGTCTAAAGTTTAAAGTACACATTGGAGGTAATTTGGAATAGTTCTAAGAACACACGTGTTCGAATCTGGTTCATAAACTAATTAAAACTATTACGAATTGTTTTAACGAATTGGAAATTCCTTATACCTCTTCATTGTTCCTCACTGTTTCGATTATAATTTTTTACCCGGAGCAATTGCTATTCTAATTGCCTACGTGCAAACCTTTGTAGTACAAAAAAACGTGTTAAATACGATTACACCTTTCGTATATCATCAAATATACGAAAAGAAATCTTTAAAATTTGTTCGTATCGTAACTCTACTCTTTTTTCGATTACAATTTTTTATTCAAAGCAATTGCCGACTAATCCGATTGCCTAGACGTGCCCAGGCGATATCCACACTCTATCCAAATGTATACAAAAAGAAAAAAAAAAAAAAATCTTGAAAATCGAATGATCGACGAAGAATTATCGATTTCTTGGAAATGGACAGTGATAAATAAAAAAATTGGTAGTTTTTTTAATACCAAAAAAACATATAACGACTGCATTATTTGACTCAGACTCAGTCGCAAAATATCGAAACAACATTTCATTTTGAACGGTGGCTGCGATTGATCTTCGATAGGCGGGTTGTTTGCGCGTAAACGAATTTCAGAGATTATTTCCGGCCGGCAGCCCGTGTCATAAAAAGCGACAAACTGTGATCTCTTCTCGTGTTATGTTATTTTTTTTTCTATTTTTTCTTTTTTTTTTTTTTTTTTTTTTTCCCCCATTCGATCGATCGAGCACGGTAAACGGTCAAAGCGTTTATCGGCCGTCCAAACGGAATCGCTTACGCGACGATACGTGCGACGGGAGTAAATAATCGCGTCCCTCGCGAAAATTCGGCGGACTTTGCGAACTGCATCGACAAAAAGCGATAAATGAGAACGCTCTATCCGGCGAATTATAGCATCGCGATCGATCGAAATTCGTCGCATTTTTGCTGAGAGATAGGAGCGAATATACCGTCCTACTTTCTAATCTTGATTACTATTAAGTTTCCAATTTTTCGCTCGTTACACGTTGTTTCGAACATTTTGGAGACTTGATATTACAATTTACGAAGAACTCGAAACCATTCGATTCTTACGCCAGAAAGGGATTCTATTCTTCTCACTTGCTCTTACGCTTCGTTGTTATTTGTTCTTACTTTATTTTTCGATGTGGAAATGGCCTCACATGCAACAAAAACATAAGGTGGAAATTATTGGCGGTAAATATTCAAATAAATATTTCTCATAATACAGCGTTGTTTAGTTAGTTGTTTACAAAGGATTGAATAAAATCGCAAAAAATTCGCAGATACAGATTATGCGAAAGGGAGAAAATAAAAAAGGAAAATTGGGAAACACGGTGAAATGCTCACCTGACGATGTGGCAGTGATCATGACGGAGACAATGGCGATGACGCCGAGCGCCGATGCAGTCGGCCGCATTCTGCAGCAGCCGGTCATATCGAGGATCCGCTCGCTCTCAACCTTCAGGGATCTGCTCCATCCCGTTCATCTTCTTTCTACGCAACGAACAAACGAAATTGCACGATTAAAATCTTGTCCACTGTTCCGCAGCTTCGTCACTTTTGAAAACAAAGAGTTGAAAACTATTTTTGATCATTCTTTTTTCTTATTATTTTCTATAAAAAAAAATGATAAATGTAGAAGATACGAGGTATTAAAAATGCAGAACAAAAATTGTTTTCGATGTTCAAAGAATCGTATCTATTGCAATTTTTTAATTGCAATTAAACGCGAGAAATAATATTTGTAATAGACTTAAACGTTCGATACGTTTTATCCACCTTAATTTCCAAGAGTTTGTCTCCTTTCGCGTGGTTGAACGTTAATGAAATTCCGCGGTCACGACGCGTTCAGGTTAGCGTTTAATTAAGACTAAAACTTTCTCCCAACCGATGTTTTCTAAACTTTTCATCGGATTGAAATCAATATCCGTATCGTATTTTCAAACAATTTCGATCCTCGTTCGTTCCCGCATACTTTTCTCAAACCGAGTTAAAAAAGTCGACCCACGAAATAAATTAATTTCGACGCAACAATTTCTACCACAATTCCTAATTTTACATCTTAAACGTGATCTTCCGAATATTAACATCAATATTCTTAATCAACCTTTAACTACCGATGCTAACCATTCGAAAACTATTCGAATATTCGAATATCCACGCGTCCTCCACCACGTCACGTGCTAATATTTCAATTGGTTCAACTCTACAAATATCGAGTAGCGATCGGATCGAGCCTATTACTTTCACGCGTGTATCGCAATTAGGGGGTCACGGGGTTCGCCCACGACTCGTTAGCGGATTCGAAACGTTTCCGATGGAAAATTCAGGTGGACTGGGGCTGAACACCACAACTGTACGATACGTACCGAAAATTCCAACCTCGCACGGGGATCCCACAGGACTTTATGAACGCTGTTGCAACGCAACAATGTTTGCACCGCGAGTTAATACGGGGACACCTGTAATGTCGTTACACGGACACCGCCAAAAACGCACCAAGACATCGTTCCTCTTGACGACGATTCGATTTTGATCGCGGAAGAGAAATTTGCATCTAAGATGTCGTTTAATCTCGTAAAGAAAATATGCATATTCGAAACGCAAATTTTATTCGAACGTTTACGAAATTCTTATCTCTATACTTTTGAAGAGAGAAGCATTATTTGAATATTTTACAAGAAAGAAAGTACAAGAACTTTTGCAAGAATTTTGCAGAGAATGTTAAACATCGAAATTAAAAATTTTATCCGGACAATTATCGAAATGAAATTTTTAATCTAACTCAAAGATAGGATTATTTTAAAGTTTCTCGTTTTATGCAGTATCTGGCTGACTTTAAAATCATTCTTCTTACAGCTTTTTCCACTGTAAGAAAGGACTGCTCAATTTATTTTGATATCAATGCACGCTCTTCAATGCGCATCAAACTCGATTAAACTTAGTTCTATTCAATTTACCTCCTCGTCAACATTTCCAAAATCAATACACCACACATTCTCTCCACATATTCCTCCTCCACACCTTTTTTGGTTTCGTCTCGCTCCATTCCACTCGGTAGTCTCCTCGAGGTGCAGCAACGAGTATTTCGAGAACAGGCAGAGAGAGAGAAAGAGAGAGTGGAAGAGACGCGTCTGCAGGGGACAACCGCAATGCCGCAGACGGCCGTGACAAATCTCGGTCGACTTGCAATTGTAATGTTTAATCAGACGTGTAATTATGTCTACTATGGTTCGAGGCTGGCTGGCTGGCGCAGCTCGCCGACCGGAGACGAATGAAATTTCCTCCCAAAAGCAAGTCGAATATTCGCGGGGACGTTGATTACGCGATTTAACCAAGGTCCGCACGCGCCACTTCCGGTTCCTTCTACACAGCATCCGCTTCCTTCCTCTCCGAGTAACGAGCGTTCACCCTCCAAATTCACTCTCCACCGACCACCGTGTTTGAGAGTTTAATCGGTGCAAGCGCGGATGTTGAACTTTGCCGCCTAGGTGTATTTTATGCAAAGCATTTTTTCTCTCTCTCTTTCGAACTTCAAAGCTCCCCTTAACGACTGTTTCACGTTTCTTAATGATCTTTAATCATTTTTTTAATATTTCTTTTCTGTGTCTCTCTAGAAAAGTTGCAACTATTAGTTAAGAATTATAATTGAAAAGTTTATTCGAGATAATTTTCGCGTGGATGTGGAATCTATTCATTTTTATTCAATCGAACGACAAGAAAAATACAGTTACCCTTTTCGACGAGGGAAATTACATGGAATGCCAATTTTCTAGGGATATTTCTCAGGAGGGGGAGGAAGAAGAAAAAAATTTGCGCGAGAGAGGATCGAATGGAGGAGCAGCGTCAAAAATTTCCTACTTTTTGCCGCGTGATTTATTAGTCAACCGGTGAACGGGGTATGGTGAAATTCTCGACTGATGTTATTAGAAAAGTTTAAAGAAGTTCGTTCGCAAGTTTATACGGTTTCCACGGCGAGAGAAGCCGCTCGAGATTTCGTGCTGTTTTAACAAGTTCGAGGACGAACGCGGGAGAATAAGGGGTTTGTTTTCTCAGCCACCGTCAAAACCAGTTTTCTAATTTAAATCGTGAACAACCTTTGGAAGGCTTCCTGTTAAGTTGTTTCATCGTGAACACTGTTTCTTCAAGGGGAGATCAAATCCTTTTTTCTTTTTTCTATTTTCCGCTCGTACTGCAATGTATATTGGAGTTTCGTACTCCTCCATTTTAAACGAAAGGAAACCAAAAGAATTCTCTCTTTTTTGGATGTATAAAATTTCGTTTTACCATACACTTCCTTATTTTTTCAAGTGTTTACGAAGTGTTTTTTAATTTGTTGATCAATCGTGAAAATTAAAATTCTAGATAGAAGGGAAAAATGTATCATGGAATTAATTGCTAAATTCTTAATCGATATTATAATGGGACAAATATTTATTAACAAAAATTAAAGAATAAACTAAAATTGTTCGCGAATTTTATTTTTTATTAATTGAGATTAATTAATTCCACTTCTAATTGAAATTAAAAATGGAAGATAGGATGGAAAATGTTTCATAGAGCAATAATAATTTTTCCAATGCATAAACATCAAATAAAAATAAAATAAAAAATGTAGAGAGATTTACGATTAGTTTATTCCTTAACTTTTATTCGCATATTATTACAAATTATATCAATATAATACAATTGATTATTAAATTAAACTAGTTGAAAATGTTCATATACTCTCGTGTCAAAATCCCTTTCGAATTGGAAAGAAATTCTTTCGGAATGGTCAGCAACAACAATCCGATCTATCCAACACCGCCTCAAAAATTACATTTTCGAATCGGATACTTTTATTCCTTCGGTGCAACCCAATCAAATAGCTCCCAGTCTTCCAATCTTCCGCCGCGAATTTCTTCGGAACAGTTATTTTTCGCGAGGCTCGCGAGACCGATACAACAAATCTTTATTCTCCATTCGATCTCGCGGGACAGAACATCCCAACTCCATCGGAAGAAGAAGTTGAAACTTGGTCGGACACAAATGACCACGGATCGTCTAACATTTCCCCCAGAAATTGATTCGTGAAATTTAAAACGATAACACCTGTTGTGAATTCTCACTCAACTTTTCCTCCTTTCTTTCCGTTTCCTGAATATCCGAATTCTTGAATGAAATTTTTTCCAACATTGTGTCATCACTGGCGTAGAACTGGTAAAACAAGTTCTGCTGTTGGGGCCAAAACTTGGAAACTTGGTCAAGTCGAGAACATTCCAACGACTCGAGGTAACAAATGTGTTGAATAAAATTGTGTTAAACACAATCTACGATTATCTTTGTACGAAGCTTTGGTTGAGCTTCTAAGTTCGAGTTATGATTTTTATCGATACCGTGACGAGTATACCTTTTTTTTGAGTTATATTCAATCGAGATGTTGGAACGATTCGTCGTGAGCTTCTGTTATCGATATTTATTCTGATGGGTTTTGTTATATAATTGAAAATTTGTAATTTGTACTTATATAATGTTTAATTACGATTTAGAGTTGTAATTAAAAGGGCAAAATATTTTTGAAAATAATTAAAACTCGTACATATGTGTAATATTGTACGATATAATAAATTTCTTTCGAAAATGTTCAATTCTTGAATAGAAAATTTAGATATTTATAATTTTTGGATCTCGTATTCAAGAATTGTGCACAGAGATTCCGTTAAACTGTTTTATTTCACTTGTCTGACTCGAATGATTTTCTTATTTTATTTATTACGTCATGATTGCTTTACTCTTGGCTAAATTCGCTCTTTCTTCTTTTCAAATGTTACTTAAATTTCCTCAGTTCTTTACGAGAGTGTACGCAATTCTTGTACGAATTTCCTCAAAGAGCAACGTTACGTCATTAAAAAAGTTCAGTAACAGGCATCGCGAAATAGAAAGACCGAACGTAACGACTTTTATTCAAAATAGAAAAGAAAAAGAAATTCTACCTTTTAATCCCATTTCGTTTTTCGAAAATTCTCATTCAAATCTCGTCCACTCTTCTTTCAAACACATTCGAAACATTCATACAAGCCTCTTCTTATCATAAAAAAAAGAAAAAATTATATTTATTTATGTGTGTTCCGATACAGGAACACACATCACTTCATAACGAGCGATACGATTTTCTGCAATTACGAAACGTTTAAACATCAGATTGTATTAAATATAACCGCCAGATTATATTTAACACTCGTTTCACGATTTGCATACAATCGTATCGCGACGCATTGTTCAAATTTTAAAAAACGGAACCGCTTTCACAGTTATCCCGTTTTGGTTCACGGTCCATCACATGCAAAATTTACGAGCCGTATAAATGAACAAGAGGATTTTCTCCCCCATCGTTCGTTCCCACATATTGCGACGACGCGGTGCGGGCTCCACATACCACACCATGCCGAAAAATATTCGTTAATTAAACAGTTTCGCGCGGAGGAACGGGTTTCCATTAATTTCCATCGTCGTTCATCGAGTGTTTTTCCATTTCGCCGAAGAAAGCAAGTCGAGAGACCCTCCTCGGTGTTCCCAACGATCATCAATTTTTAATCACGACTCCTCGATACTTCGACAACTCTTCAACGGATAACTCGTGAAACTTTTCCAATACTCTTTACATCCTGCGGTACAGCGATAAATCATTCCCTTTCCCGTGGAAAAAATTGAAGAGGGAAGAATGATGTCATTTTAAATGATCGAGAAAACGATCGTTTCCAACACGTGCAATGGAATTATATTAATCTCGCTAATAATCCATGGTGAATTCGGTTCCGATTCAAAGAAGCTTTTCCAACTCTTCCAAATTCCCTTTTTTAATATCGATGAAAATCTTCAGATTTTTTTTTATCTTTGTTAAAAGATTACTTGCTTATCGAACAATATCGATAATTTAAATATCGTTCATTTCTTCTACTAGTAACTTGCGTTCTCTTAATTTTGAAAAATTATTTCGATATATATGAGATGAGATGAATAATTATAAGAAAGAAGAGGAAATGGTTTAATGTTATTTAATAATATAATAAGTTCGATTTTCTTTGTCTCTATCCCTCCATGGGGGATGGCAATAATTATAACGATCGTTATTCCATTAAGAAAACGAGAGAGGCTTGAACTTAATTTCTTCCATCGTCAAGTTTCACGATGTCGCCCGTGATTAACAATCCATGCTTCGCAACAGAGTCGCTGGAAATATCGTTTCTCTTCCGCTTCTTCTTTTTAAAGTAAGTGTCGTTGAGGTTTCTTGATTAATCACAGTTGCCGTGTTAGAAGAATGGGACCGTGTCCGAGCTTGATTCCGCGGCTAGATAATATATTTTCGTTTCTTATTTCTCTTACCAACCGAATTACAACTTTTTAATCAATTAAATTATTGAATTTAATTTCACAAATCTTCATCGTTAATTCTTCGAAATTTTTTTGAACCTTAAAATCACAATCGAGAACAATTTTTATACTCGATATAATTCGATTTGTAAGAGTTTTTGTTTAATGTAACTATTGAAAACTATCTTTAATTCCCTATATTACATATACCATGGCGTTTAAAGTAAAGCTAAATAAAAAAAATATTTACAAAACTTTATCGTTCCCTGTGCTACGATAAATCAATCCTTTATTCGTTTCAATTATCTGATTTTTTAACGTACAAATCAATTTTTCTTCATATCAATCTTTACAAAAGAAATTCTTAAACAATCGCAATTTCCAAAATCTTCATTCCAAAATTCGTACGCACTTTCATCGTCGTTTTAATCGTTCTTCCTTAATCCTTCCCCTAATCCTTATTTCGCGAGAGAGTTGGAACACGTTAACGTTGTTTTAACGATTCATAAATTTCTGTGGGGGTCACGCTGTCCAGCCGGTTCCAAAAGTTCCAAGGGGAGAAATCTGGGGCGGCGCGTCTCTCCGATATTCCACGGATTAACCGAGAAATCGATCCTCGAATCGATTGACGCTCATAGGTGTAGATTACGTTAAAACACTCCGCGAGAGATGAATTATTCACACGCGTTCCTCGTTTCACGCTCGATAACGTTTACAACGTTCGTTCGCGAGGACGGACGGAAACTAACTGCGTCTCCTTCGATTCGACTCGATTATTGCGTCCTAGAAATGTTGATGTTTTGGTTTGGGCTTCTGCGTGTGTTCGAACCGAGTCTGCTTTGTTTCTATTTCTTTCGTCTCGTTTATGTCGAGATTCTTAGAAGGCGGTGATAATGTTATATTTATTCGAGATTCTTAGAAGGCGGTGGTAATGTTATATTTATTCGAGATTCTTAGAAGGCGATGATAATATTATATTTATTCGAGATTCTTGGAACGGAACGATAATATTATATTTACACAACGAATTACGTCGAATTCGTATTGGAATAAAAATTAAACTTGAAATCTATCGTATATAAGGTGTTTACGTTTAAATAAATAACATATATAAATAATATGTTGCGATGCCAGATCATCAGAATTTGTAAGAAATATAGAAGAAATATAAAAACAAAATTTATTTGGAAAAACACGATCCGAGTTGTAAAACAATCCTCCATCTTTCTTCCATTTTAAGAAAAATTATTCCACTTCAAAAAGCGATCCGAATGCTTTTTACCAAGCATTGCATTTCTTGTTACGAATCATTCTTCGAAGCAATTTTCCCAAAAACTAATCCTCCTTCTCGCCTATCATCAATCACGCCTTGTTCCCGATTAATTTCGGCCGGAATCGATGAGAGCGATAAAAAGACCAAGGGAAAACGAACAAACAGCGTTCGAAATTAAGTTCTTAATTAAACAACCTTGGATTCCCAGCCAGCCATCGTTGTCGCCTGTTGGAAAAGAGGAGAGGGAGGGGGGATTGGACACACCCCGTGAAGAAGACGAGAAACTCTTGACCAAATTCGCCCTGCGGAGAGATCTAATTTCGGCTTGTGTCGGCCGTGCACGCGTAATGATAAGTTTCGTCTAGGATAATGAATATATTGTATATATATATATATATCTCTTGAAAAAAAAATAAATATTTTTTTAATTAGAATAATCCTCCTCCTTGTTTCCTTGCCCGTTAAAATCCGTTGAAACACTTCTATTTTTTTTCCACGTGGAATTATCCACGTCGAAAATTTGCATCACGATATTTTTTCCTCGCGGATGAAATTAAGGATGACAACCACCACGCCCATTTTCATCGATTCGAATGAAACTCGGGTAGAAAAAAACAAATTAATCCAATGCATACGGGGGGAATTATTTCAATGTTTCTCGTTTTCGTATCGAAATAACGACACGTTCGATATTATTAAATATTGGATATCGTAATTTTGAGGATGAGGAATTAATTACGATCGTAAAATATTCTTGGACACTCGTGGGTGGTAATTATTTTTGTAGAAAATTTCGTTAGATTTGTGACGACGATCTCTTTGTATTTTGGCTCTCTTTTTTATTTTATTATTTTACAGTTTATTGTTGTACTTTTTTCCCCCCTCTGATTTTTCGTTAAATAAACGGAAGTGACTTTCAACGGCTCTTTATGAAAATACGAAGGATCTATTATAAAAGAAGGTCGCAAGAAAGGGTTGGAAAATTATCTCATAATGCTGCGCTAGATGAATAATTATCGTGCCGCGGATTTTTATGCATTTTATGAGAAATTTAAATGTACGTATCTGAAAATCCGAAGAATAAATTTTAACGTAGCGTTATAAAATACATAAAATATCTAAAATAAAATGTATTATGATATATAAAGGATTCGGTTTAAATTACATTCTCTGAAAATGGTTTATGCAATTAAAAGGAATCCCTTTATTCACAACTTTCCGCTAACAAAATCAATTAAACAACAATTTTTATTTCAACAGTCTTTAATATTTACTCAATTGATCTATCAATTGAAACGATAACGAAACAAGTCATTTTCAGAGAGGATATAATTTATATTGATTGGCTTCTATCCCTCTGCGTAGAAAATAAAATTTTTTTTATAATTACACCACGACACAAATATGAATTTCCATATATATAAATATATCCACGATCCTTAATTAAAACATATTCTTCCATATTCTTTCGAATTATCAGGATTGTTTATTCGAAACACGTTTTCTCATTAAGACTCGAGTCGAACTTAAACTATTCTAACTTTTTGTTCGCAAAGAGAACACTTGAAACTGAAAAATAATCGTTGCATGCATCGCAAGCAGGAAATAGATTTTTCTTGGGTTTCAAGACATGGCTCCAGTGTCTCCAGTGTCTCCAGTAAAAATTCTAAATGCGACCGGGCCACAGTTCAATTTGCACTCGCGACTTCTTGCCGTTGTTTGTGTTACACGTTCCCTAATTAAACGTGATATTTGAGTTTGTCCTTTGTGCAGAGTTTCGTCTTACCAACGGACCCCGAGAAAAGGGGAGAAGTAAAACGTTTCGAAGAAATCTAATTTCACCTGGGAGCCGAACTCTCAGACGAAAATTGCGAAACAGCCCTTCCTTTATTGGAACGAGTTTGATAAGATTTTTAAGAAATTCAAATTTATTTTTGCGCAACACTGAAATTCTCGATTTCCCTTGCGAAGCTTTCTCAGAAAAATTAGAAGATTTTCAAAGTTTCCTCCCGCACGAAATTTCACGAGAAGATTAAAAATTAAAAAAATATCACAAATTCTGAAAAAAAGCTTTCACTTCTCGATGATCTATCGAAAAGAATCAAATAACAAATCATTGGTTTGATCGAATATTCGAGGATATTCAAATTTATTTACAGAAAATTTGAATTTTAGAAATGATTTCTGTCGTCAATCAAGTTTCCAAAAACTCTTAACTCTTCAGGATGACCCATGTGAAACACGTTAAATAATTATTTCGACACAAGATTCAAATATATTTGCGATTCAATTGTAATTTCACAAACAAAATCTCGCCAGGAAAAATTCGGAAGCATCGCTGAACGAGGCACAAATCAATTTTCACAGAGATTTCGTCTACGAGTAATCCCTGCTACGGCGAAATCGAAAATGCATACGGGACGAAGGTATAAGCGGGTGAAAGTTTCTCACGTGCGTGTTTTATGGTGGATATCGAGTAGGTTGGGCAAAAAACCAGCTTTTTGTCGAAACGAATAACGATAGAGCCGCTTTTATCCTCGCACAACCCTCACGTACGTCTTTCTCCCTTTATTTCCGCGGTGAAGTGTCTTATAAAGTTTCCGTCTTCTGCGGGATTCGTTCGTGCCGAGTGCAAAGTCCCATTCGATTCAACGTATACTCGAGAAATTTATGGATAAGTTGCTCGATGTTCCCCTGCTTGAAAGACGTATATGTGAGTTTGGATTTTTCTTCGACTTTGAAGGGAAAATTCGTTTCAGTTTTTGCCACTGTTTAACGTGGATACGGGTATCGATGTGTGGAAAAGTATTTCGTGCATCCTCAGCAGAGACAAAAAATTTCGTGGAATAAAATGCATTTGGAATAAGAATGTTAAATTAATGTATAATAATTCCTTCCAGAATTTCTTCCATCGCGTAGAGGATTAAATTATAATGAAATTTTAAGAGTGGAAAAAAGAAATGAGAATGCAAGAAATTCTTATTATACTTGGAAATTCGTTTCATATTTTTGTCAACGAATATAATATTCGACGAAAACGAAGGAGAGCGTAATCCAGAAATTACCCAAACGAGCCTAAACGAACGATCATTAAAACAAACGGCTACAATTAATCCCAAGACCGGTCATTTATCAATCCGACTGGCTCGCCCATTAAAATCCCCTCGATTCCTCGGTTAACTTTATATATACGTGACTGGGAAATCGACCATCGCTACTTTCACCCTCAACACTCGAATTAACCACGAAACGATCACCAATAATTGTATCAAACGCTCTCCAAATCTCTTTCCAACACCGCGAAACATCCCATAATTCCATCAAATCCGATTATTTCGTTTCATCTGATCATCTCGAACACTGAAGCGAATCTAAAAAAAAAAAAAAAAAAAGAAAGGAAAAAGAATTAGACGCGAGAAAGATAAAGTTGGTGAAAGCAATACATTTCGAAGAGAGGAGGGAAGAGAAATTCGTTCACCGTAAAAACGTTAAGGTCTGAGGGTGGTCGTGGAAAAAAAGAACTTCCGGCCAATAGCCGGAAACTTGGCCAATTCCTCGACGACTCGAGCGCTCGAAACGTCGTTATCCAAGTTATCCTACGGACAGGTGGAGGTGCCGTGTGCCTAAGTTTCCGCTTCTATAATTGGGAGTGGCAGAGACAGAAGGGGTTACCATCCAACTATTGTGTAATACCGAGATACATCGTATTAATTCAATATGTAACTGTGCTGATAATGCTCGAGCTGCAATTTGTTCGAGAATACTGGATCGATCTCTTAGAGATTGAACGAATTCGAACGAGTCGATGAAATTTCTTCTCTCAAATTGTTGGGAAACGCTCGATCCATTCCTTCTCTTTTTCTCTCTCTTCTTTGTTATCTACTCTTGAATTTTCAGGAGAAGAAGTTTTCTTCCAAGTCTTCACTTCCAAATTTTCAACTTCGCGTATCTATTGAACTTTGACCAGTGGTTGCCAAACTGATATCGATACAATGGTTCTTCGTAACAGTTCTACGAGAATTCGATGCTTAGATTTGTCGATCCAACTCTGTTAAGTCGATATCCCTTTATTATTATATACTCGTGGTTAGTCAAAATTGCTTGAATTAAATTGATACGAGCCTCCTTCTTTATTATTATTTCCTCGAGCTCGAAATAATTTGAAAGCCTTTCTTCAAGTCTTTTCGTTACATATAAAACTTTAAATATATGGAACGTGATTTCGAACAAGTTTGACTAATCAGAACTCGAGATCTCGAACATTACAATGCACGGAACGACGAAAAGGATACTCGGTTCGAAATAGATCGGTAAGAACGAATCTCTCTGCGTAAAGTACTCGCCATTGCGGGCAACGCAATCCATCACGTCGCTCTGAACGCGGATCTACCTCCACTTTCGCTGTTTTTCACCGGATCGACCGGCAAACCGACCGACTTTCATCACCGAATGTTTTGCAGAACGCGTCCATCCACGACCCTCTTCTCTCCCTCTTTTCACCTCTATCCACGCGTAAAAACGATCT